CGACAACCACGACCGCGGCATATAATACCTGTCTGACAAGCTACCTTACCCGTGTTGTATCAGCCGGGCATGTACGTACACATATATGCGCGCGCGCGTGTGTGTGTGTGTGTACGTATTGTCCGTTTATGTGTGCGAAACACACGCGCTTTTGTGTGCATGCGGAGGTTACCGCACGGCATGCACCGGCGTACGCGGTTGCGTGTGCCCACGTTGCACGCTCGAGTGTGGTTCGAGAATTCGAGGATTCGGGTAAAACTAATTGCAGGCCTGTCGAAAACGGTTGGCAGGATCTTGCGTATCGCATGCAAACAGACCTTCATCGATTTCATTCCACGGACATAATTATATAATACTTTCATAATTTCGTGGGTACATCTTGTGCGTCACATTTCGTACATTGTCTCATGTAACTTTTTGACATTACAGAAAGAACCTTTGTACGACGAAGAGAATGAATTTCACATATACTTCGCTAAAGAATGAGCGATAATTCTAGGGGTATTCTATATGTTTTCATTGAATATCTCGACTACTGTAAAATTTATTTGTATTCATGAGCATGCATTATGCGCAGCCGTCACGTTTTGTCACGAATGTAAAAGAAGGTATGATGAGAATGGAGCGTGGTGTTCGCGTGTATTTGTGTAGCGTGTGGCTTTCTTTATAATTTCCGCAGATCGCTTTAATCGTATTACGAAGAAATCGTTGAAGCATGCGACGAATAGAACTCAGGAGGCTTTCCCAGGAGGAACGATCTATTAGCGAAATTGGTATTAATTACGTTAGCTCGCGGTAAAATTAATTATTGCGTCTCCCGGCACTTTTGTTTTAATTTCATTCTACATACATCAATTTTTTATCTCGCGTGCGAGTCAAGTCGCGGCGCATTATTATATCGTATTATTATATCGCAACTCATTATTATACAGCGAGTGATAAGAAAGAAAAAGCATTAATAAACATTCAGGTTAGCAGTGGCCGTAAAAAAAAGGTTTCGATCGAAATACGCTGCCAAGCGAAATATTTTTAGTGTATATATTATAAATTAACAAAAAATGTTTACGATAAAAAGAGCTTAATGCTCGAAACAGCGTAATGTATTTTCAATAAATTACAAGGAATCAAATTAGTTGATGTTTTTTCGATAAAAATGACGTGATAAATTTTTAAATATAATCGTCAATTAAATCAATTTCAATATTCATGAATTTATACACAGAATTCAGTAAAGATTATTGAAATAAATTTAAAACGCATTACTAATTTTCCTAGAGTGACATTTCCTTTCTGATATATTAACACTATAATAGTAGAGTCGCATAATTTATTAAAAGCGTTTCATACTTTTTCATTAAAACATAAAATAACAAAGAAATATGTTCATTAGGGTTTTCCGCACACACACACATATATATATATATATATATATATCGGAATATATTCTTGAATATTTAAATATTTTCTCTATCAACATTCTATGTTATTACATTATTCCACACGTCGCACGCAACCAGCCAGTGCGTTTCGCAGCTGCGAATTAGCGAGTCAGCTTGGCGACGCGTATGAGTTGTAAAACAATGGCGAATGTTAAGCTACGGAACGTATGTTAACAAGCATGAAAGCTTAAACCCGGATAAATTAATCTGCATTACTTCGCGCAAACGTGATCGTTATCGAGTTACCGCTACTTTAACTGTCGAAATGGTCTTAATAAACTTGCGGGCGATCCAATTACGTAGTTTATCCGCGTTTGTTCTAATCACACTCATTACTCGTGAAAATACTCCGGTGCGGCGTGACAGTGCAATATTTCGGTGTAACGTTGCGGCTAAATTAGTCTGGACAAGTGCGCGAAAATCATGAATTTTTTTCCCGTGCGATCACGTTTTTTTACAATAAAACCTCTTTTTAAACAAAATAAAATAAAAAAAAAAATTTTAATATTTCTTAAAAAAGAATGAATAAAAAATAAATTGAAATTATACGAATGAAATACAAAGTGTCGCAATTCTGTATACATTACAATTACACGATCGCGATTGATTAATCTCGGCAAACGAAATAATGATGCCGGGATTGCAACACGCTTTTATTTACCCGACTTTTCCGGCCGGCGGAATATCGGACGAATATTTATAACCCCGAATCGTTCGAGCAGCAACAAGATCGATCGAGTGCTATTCCTATTACATCGGTGCTCTCCGAATGTTTACCCGGGGCAAACGATTGATTGATCATCGGTGCTAGTTATTTTCAATCGACACGAGACGATACGACTTTTATTTTATCGATAACCACAACGACAGTGGTTATTATTTATTCGCGCGATTCTATGAGAATGACTGTAACAACTAGATCATTTGTCGATTCTGTCAATCATTTGTTAACTCCGGCTAATGGAATTAATGAAATCCGAAGATTAATATCTCGATTATGTAATAAAAGTAAATGAAGTTTCGATGAAAACCTGCTTGAAGTTAATCCACGAACAAGAAGTTCTGTTTTATTTTTACTCTCGACTGCTACTAACTTCGAAGACTGTTCAGCTAGTAATTAGCTTTTCATTTAATCTTCACGATAATATAGACTCGTCTCATATTCACCAAGGAATACAATATTCATGTCTTCATTATTGAGCCCTTTACTTAATTATTTGTCTGTGACGTTTGTCATGTGAATGTATGAAAGTCAACGTCGTTTCGAAATGTACGAAAATTGTAAAAACACAGGAAATATTTCGAGCAATGTTCGAAGCTTGAGATATTACAAGCATCCCTCTATTTGACGGGTTTTCCGAGACTTTAGTCGTAGGTCGAATTGATCGTAAAAATAGTAATCATATCTATTGTTTTTCTTTCTCTTTTAGTAATAATATTTGTATTACTAGCCATTCTAAGACATAAATAATTTCAAGATGTAAAAAAGTAAATTAATATCCATTTCGATCAATGGGCATTTTTTAGTAAAAATACAGTGTAACATAATGAATCATTTTATTCTTATTTAACGTCGGCAAACAATAAGAATGTAACAATTTACGGTGTTATACTGTATCCTTGCTGGAAAAAACGTCCAATGTAGAGTCACTTCAATCTCAATTCAATTGTTACATACACACAAATATATTCAACTTTTTTTTATATATGTGTAGATATGTGTACATACACTATAAAAATAAAATGTTAATTTTAACTTAAATACAAGTGGATTTTCTGTAAAAAATAAAATGTTAATTTTAATTTAAAAACGTTTAGTGGACTTTCTGAACATGCAAAAATGTTAAAATAAACACAAAAATGTTAATTTTAACATTTTTGCATGTATCAGAAAATCCACTAAACATTATTAAAGTTAAATTAACATTTTATTTTTTACAGTGTATATATACACACACACACACATACACGCGCGCAAATACTCTTCATCTCTTTTTAATTCTTAGCATTTACCAGTCGGAAGTTTGGAAATTCAAAATAGTCGTACGTAGAGGGATATCTGTACATTTAATTACATTTATCAAATATTATATTTATATTGCCGATAAAATACAGGAAATAACAATTAAAGCAAAAATTTTATACGACCAGGAAATGTAACGAGGCGAGTAATTTCTGCTAGTGAACGTTGCACAAATTATTATCTTGTTCAGTTGAATGTATAATGAAATAAATGCTTTATATTCACTGCAGAGTGGCGCCTGTAATCCTTTCTCGCGCAATTATTGCTCGTTATTATAGCGCAAGGAAAATCGCGACGCGAGCGAGGATCCTGTTTCCTATACTGCTCCTCATTTATACGCATCGCTAACGGTGAACATAATTTTGTGTAACAACTCTAACGATGCTCGATATTATTTAATATCCCAGGAAAACAAGTGGACGCGCTGAATTTACGTTGATAGAAGATGCGATCGTATAACTCCCTTACGACGGTGATTTCCATAATAATAACGTAGACTTTGTATGCGGTGCCATTAATGTTATTACTGTTATTCAGCGAATTGTAGAAATTCGATAAATCAATAAGCAGTGTGTATGACTTTATTCGAAGAGCGTGGTGCAATAATAGAGTAAATTTGATGGGAGCAAATTTGGTAAGCGAATACTGGGAATGTACATGAATCATTAATGGTCTAAATGCAAATTCTTCGTATTTTACCAATGTCCGTTAACGTTAACAGTTAAATCCTTCGTATTCTTAACAAATTAATTTAAAATGGATAGATTGTTAATTTAACATTCGAAGAGTTTGAAAGAAGTGATATTTCTACAATTTAGTATTTCACGTATTTCAATTTTATATATTACTAGAAGAAAGATTAAGTAAATTGCATTAATTGTATGAATCGCAATTTGTATAAAAATACGTTTCTTTAATGAAAAAAAAAAACATATCACTTTCATTAGACAAAATAACAAGGTAGATCGGTCGGTGGATAATTTATTCAAGAATATCATTAAATAATTGTAACTGGATGGAAATAGAAATATTATCTCTGTTATACTCTTTCCAGACATCAGATAGAATTAATTGTAATTAAATTTTCTGTATTCGACTGACTCTTGCATGAAAAACACATGATTCGAAATTACATGTAAAATTATCATTTAAAATTAATATTATTTCATTTATCATTAATTACAAATCCATTAACTGTAATATGACAATTAAAATATATCAAAAGAAGATCAACAATATGTAGAAATTAATGTAAAATTAATAGATAGAAATTAATATAAAATCAATTTGTGTAAAAATACATTTTTCCGACGAAGAAAAAGATTGTCGTTTTATCGATTGGTTATAATTGTCAATTAAGAGAATATTAAAAATCAATGCTTCGTTCGGTAAATCAGTGCTATCGTTCTAGGATTAATTTCGCTCCCTAATCCTCTGTAACTAAGAGGAAGCTAAGGGGATAACAAGAAGGTCGGAGGTCCAAGGTGGCGGAGTCCGCCAAGGCAAATGGGCGAATTAAGCTGTAACGAGGTTCTTACCTCCTTCGGTCTCGTGCCAAACGATGCCCTCGAGGGTGACGGAGGTACCGGGCTCGCAGGGTCCCAAACACTCCGGTTCCGTGATGGTCCCCACGCTGGTTCCAACGCATACGTCGGACATGTCCTGCAACAAAAAGTTCAACGAACGGTGAGTCGCGATGTTGTCGTGTGTCAATTTCGTCCGCGTATGTATGGTATATCGATATGTATCGCGTTTGTCAATTTCGCCCGCGTGAAATAATCTACAACATGATTGTACCATGCACACGATGGAAGAAACCTACCATGGTACCATGCACAAAAAGAATAGTTTTGCTAAAAAAATATAAAAATTTAGCTGGATACAGATTTGAAAATAATTTTGTTATAGATCTATCAAAATAATTATTGGAACGTCCAAGCTGGTTGCTGGAGGCGTTGGAACCTTTTGGAATATTTTATTATTACTCATTATATGTTTGAGCTTCCTACATAATTATTTTGATACTTTTCATTTGATCTAATAAATTATTTTCAAATCTATATTTAGATAAACTTTTAGAAAAAAAAAACTGTTTCAGCAAAATCATTCTCTCCGTGTAAAGTTATTATTTTAATATATAAATAATAAATATTTTAACAACGATTTTCGGCCACGATTAAAAAGCTAATTTCTTCCTGATGGTTAATTTATTTTGAAAGTTATTTTACCGATATCAAGGATACTGCTGTTTGCATTAATTCTCTAATGCAAACGTAGGAGGCAGACAATGTATATTGTTCGTAATTAGATTGAGATAGTCTCGTATGTCCAGGGACTTGTCATTCTAACTACGAAGCGGTTCCCGTGACGCCCAGGGACCTGCATTCTAACTACGACACGAGAATGGCGATCAAGAGCGATAGCATGACTGAGCGATGAGGATGCTAACTAACGATCCGTTAGATAGATCCATGAACTATCTCATGGCGAATGCATGTTATTAATGTTTAATAAACGCTTGTTTCGAGAGACCGCTCGAATATTTTCGCGGCTCTGCCGTGCCATGTACCTCATATACGTTTAATTCAATTCATTCACTCTTCACAGTTGTGCAACGCGACATAAAATCCGTCGCGTATATATAGTGAAATACTTTCGACGTGAAAATATATATATTTCAGTCCATACATTTACGCTGTATTCTGGCTGGTGTAATACACAGTGCACGACCGTTCCGCGCCGACATGACGTTGCGCGACGATTTCGACAAGGTGTTAACGAGTCATCGTACGGTATATATATCTCTCGGGCTTTTCAAAAATATCGGGTCGGGCTGTCACGAAATACCGCCGTTGCTTGTACGCGACGACGAGAGAGAGTATCGCTTCGCCGTTCATTTCGGAAATCGATGTAATCCCGGTCACTGGACGCGCGCGCGCGGAAAATGCATCCCGGGCCGGCGGCCGAGTGGCCTCGAGGCGCGACGAAACGCAGCCGAGGATATAAAAGCAATTGGAGGAGGCCCCAATTAACGTCGGTCGTACCACCCTCCCTCCGCACGCTGTTTATGGAAATATCGGCCGGCCGCGATATTTCCCCGAACTGGGAAACGCACGATCGGAAACGCGGTTCTGCCGTCGGCGCGTTTACCCCGGCTTGCAAATAGAAATGAAACGGCGAAAGCGCCGAGGGTTGATTTTCGCATAACGTTTCCGCACACCTACCGTGTTGCTGGAAATTGACGAACACGTCATTCTCCCATATATACGGATATATAGCACACGGCGCTATCGATTCTGATTTCCCGCCCGCGGGACAGATCGTATTTTTTACACAGGATCTCGACTGCGTGATAAAATTTCCTCTGCCCTCCTTTTACAATTTTATTGCAAATATTTTTATTCGCATTAAACATATTTGCCTCCTATTTTTACCAGCATTAAAAAACATTTATCATATACAACGCAAGGTAAATACGTCTTATTATTATGCGCGATGTAACAATATAAATAAATTCATCTAGATATAACTCTGTATCATTTTTATCGTTACCATTACTATCATTATCGATGGAGTACCGCTATTTTATTTAACGGTTATTATTATACGCTGTTATTATTTACCGCTTTTATTATTATATGCCATACATTTTCATATGTATATGCACGCACTTAAACATATAAATATGGCATAATATGGAAACGCAACCGTGAGCCGGTTTGTTGCGGGTTTAAAAGCAATTAGCGAGATGTCTGCTGAATGAATGCGCTCTGCTGGTCGCGGTAATTTTCGCGGCTCGATGCAAACAAATTTCCATTTCGGGAAAACAAAATCGTCGCGCGGTCGGGGCTTTGAGAGCAATTAGTGATGCCGCGCATAATTAACGCGTTAATTAGCATCGCAATTTTGAGTAACGCGGGCGTAACTTTTTCGTATATCGGAATATCGACACCGCGGTGCTGTTACAAATTTTTCATTTATTCACTCTGTGGGATTTAAATGTCACCGATGTACCCGTCGTTCGATATTAATATCTGTTTTCGCGGAACGGATTTTCAAACGACATACAAAGCCATATGTCCGCTCGATAAATCCGTTATAAATCCCCAGGAGCATTCTCGCAATAACACAATTCCTCGTAGGCATAAAATCGACAGCAGAGCTCGATTACTTGAATCATCGATCGGCTAGAAACAACGGAATTACTTATTTTATTTTTGACGTTTTATTTAACTTTATATACTATCGAAAGTTATATCGATTCACGCATGGAATCGACCTTTAGATAGCTTCAATATCTACATGCATGCTGTATATTAATCCAGACGAATTTATCGGCGTTATCGCTTCGGCGGCGTTTCGCTGTGGAATAAAATTTGCGCCGGAAACGCGTTTACAGGCGGGTTGGCTGAATGCGTCGAAATGCATTAACGTGGATAATCGAGAAAATGAGTGACAGCGTGCGCGAATGGATCCGCATGCATGTACAAAATATTCGTGATTCGTTGCATCTCTCTTCATCTTTTTTGATAAATTTGAAATGCTCTCAACGGTAGAATGCAGTTGATTTACGATATTTAACGCCAAACATTCATACGAGGCTTGCAGTAAAATAAGAAATAACAGAGGAGAAGGCGGTATTATAATTAGTGTAGATATAATGGCCCCTCTTATTATTCTCGCTATCAAGTGGCAAATTCCAAATTACTTCCGAAATTAATTTATTTGATTTTTATCAAATTGAGCCTTGTTATATAATTATGTTAAAATAATTATATATATATATATTCCATAAATTGATTGCCTAGTATTTATCTACATACAATTTACATTCAAAATTCTTTGGAATAGAATCTCACTCTAAATAGTAAAAATTAAATCAGTTTTTAAAAAAACTCAATCTTTAAAAGTGACAATTCACTCTAAAAGTTTTAAAGAATATATTATACGTACTATAGATTTTTAATATCGAGCAACTTATACGGAAGAAGTTATGAATATGTATATACGTTTTGCAATATTTTACTTTTTTGTTTGTAACCAAATATTACTGTTTAGTTCTAAACAAAATTAGTTATTTAAATCAATTTTTATAAAAGGCATTACCATTCCTGTTTCTCTTTGAGCCATTATGCAATCGCTACATTTTTATAAATAGTATAATTCATATTATATCATATTAATATATGATTCGTAACTTTAGAATCGATTGAACAATACTTTGACAAACGTAATCGTTAAATTTTAAATTTAAATATCAGTTATTAAAATTTAATACAAGCTATTACATGAAATGTAAAAAGAGTGATAGAGTCGTAATACCGCCTTCTCTCCTCTAAAGTATTTCATTATCTTTACAAAATTAAAATCTTTTCTCATAAATCCTTTAATTTCGCTGAACTGCACTTTAAGGCTATTCGTGCCTTCGTATTTTCGTTCAGAAAGAACTAACTCCAAATTGGTAGGGAGATCCATGATTGAAAATAAGAGAGGCAATTTCGGAATATTCTACGGTGAAAGGGTAAGGGCGGCAGATAGGTAGGTAGGTAAAAGCACAGAGGAACGAGCATGCGGCCGTCTGTCGGGCCCGAGATTACAATGGTAGTTTGAAATGCAAATCGCGGAGTTTATGCTTGGTTTCCATAATTACAGAAGCGCGACGCGCGCGTTACCTCTCATAATGTACAATGCACACGGACCGACGTAATCGTGGCATTGTTCTGGCGCGAAACTATTTTGCCGTGTTACGACGACGACGACGACAGCGACGACAGCGACGACGATGACGATGACGACGACGACGACGACGACGACGACGACAAGTCGGCGATGCGGAAGGACAGCTGTGAAACGCGAGATGCGACAGCTTGCGAGAGGAAGGAAATACATCGAAACATCACCAACGAGCTCGCGCAGCCTGTCATGACAATAAAGAGAAACGACATCGTGTCGTTATTCGACGGATATCAGAGAAAAAACCGCTGTCAAAATTTCAATAATGCAGAGATGTCGATACTGTTTTAAAGAAATGTCACAAAAACATTTAACAATAGATAAAAGAACGATAAATAACGTAATCATAATTTCATGTCTCGTTTGAAATTAGAAATATTCTCATTAGGAATATTAAAAAGATAGATCTCATTTTATCACTTGACTATCCTCGATGTTAGCACAATTTGTTGCTAGAAAATTTTTAATAGCTTTATTTAATCGCATTCCGAGTGAACACGATGCCAATTCATTTTAGCAATTGCCGTTTTAATCTCTGTTTCTCTTGATTTAATAAGATTCCTAGCTGGATCGTTAATTATTCCGCGTTTTTGCTCTGGTACCGTGGACTGTAATGAATAATCCTACGCACAAAACGAGAAATATTTAGAGAAGAATGTTGTCGCGAGACTCGTAAAGATTATAGGGTCGTCGTGCAACGCAATCGTGCGGAAAAGCGAGAATAAAACTGAAGCTTTGGAGCTCCTACTTTCTCAATATTGTAGAATTATTTTTGTACAATATTATAGATCTTTTTTAAACCATTTAAAATAAACAAAAAATCTAGAGGTTCAATGTAGACAAACCAATAACATGTGCAATATTTTAAATACAAGTATTAATAATATTGATCATCTAAGGGCTGCTAAGACTATTCCTTGTAGTATTAA